CTCAAAAAAAAAAAAAAAAAGAAAAATCTGAAGTCTTCTCAGCAAGATAAGAGGACACCAAAGGCACTTTCTGGCTTCAGGCCTGTGGCCCTTGGGGCTGTCCTTGGACAAATGCTAGGAGGTCCTTGGCAATGTCTGTTTTTAAAAGGGTGGGGCGAGGGGAGGATGTTACAGCCTGCCTCCACCAGGAAGCAACCTCAGCCTAGCCGTATTATCTGCAAACTTTCACTGCCTGTTCCTGTTACTCCACTCCTTACCCCTCAAGTCCCCCAGACACAACTACATAGCCTGCTGTGTTCTCCCTTTGATTCTCCCGGCCCTTCAACCCCATTTCTTCCCTTTCCAACCCCAACTGCAAGCATCCTCTGTCCCTAGGCTGGTTCATTCTCCATCATGCCCTCACTCACAGCCCCCATTATTAGCTCAAGGCAAAAGCTGCATGTCCCTCCCCTCCCAGTTGCTTGCTCCCTTGGGCTATAAATAGCACAGCCGTGCCTTAGATCTTGTTGAGAGCTTCAAGACTTAGTCCCCCTTCCCCCCATCCCTTCCCGTTTAACACAACAGGGAGAACAAGCCTGAAGTTTCCAATTAGGGTGGGCAAACCCAGGAAGGAGGGGGTCTGGGGGAAGGGAATGAGAAAAGCTGTGCTGAATTCGGAACCACACAGAATATGGTAACTTTGCCATCTGTTGTCAGGGACTCTCCACTTTCCCCCAGCCTGCTACCCATTCCCTGCCACTTGCTCCTGGAGGAAGAGGAGCAGCAGTGCAGGGGGAATTCTAACAGTAATTCTCTTTTAACCCTTATGATCATCCTCTGGGCAGGTGCTACCTTGCTTTTACTGACGAAGCCATAGACTCTAAGAGACTGAGTGGCAGAACCCAATATTTAGAGTGGTTGATTTGTGGGCAAATTGATCCCACGTCTGGCTTTGGCCTACACTAAGTCTGTCTGCATCATTGATTTAGGCCCCTCTAAATCAGAATTTCTATTGATGTGACCTGATTTGGAAGAAAAAGAGGTCTACTAAACAAATTACTAATGTAGCAATGCATAAATGGAAAACATTAAAGACTCCGCATGTTCACAAAAATGATGCCATCATAATTTTATCTTATCTGTTTACTAAAGCAGGACTCTACAGAAATCTGTTCCTTCAAGTTTTTTTTAGTTACTGTATGTTCTCAGAAGTTTTTGAAATACAAAGCAATTTTGCTTCTTCTATTTCAAGACTTCTCCTCTACTTTACATTCTCTCAAGTTAGTCCTGAGTAGTGAGTTAGAAATCTGGCCTTTTTTCTGTCCCTTACTATTGGGCAAAACGCTTAATGGAGCCCCAATTTTTTGTCTGTGAAGTGGAGATAATAGCAGCTACCTCATTGCTATTGTGAGGATTAATCTACACAAAGGAGGCCAGGCATGGCAGCTCAGGAGGATAATCCCAGCACTTTGGGAGGCCGAGGTGGGTGGATCACTTTGAGGGCAGGAGTTTGACACCAGCCTAGCCAATAGGGTGAAACCCCAACTCTAATTAAAAACACAAATAAAGGCCGGGCGCGGTGGCTCAAGCCTGTAATCCCAGCACTTTGGGAGGCCAAGGTGGGTGGATCACGAGGTCAAGAGATCGAGACCATCCTGGTGAACATGGTGAAACCCCATCTCTATTAAATATACAAAAATTCAGCTGGGCATGGTGGCGCGTGCCTGTAATCCCAGCTACTCAGGAGGCTGAGGCAGGAGAATTGCCTGAACCCAGGAGGCGGAGGTTGCGGTGAGCCGACATCGTGCCATTGCACTCCAGCCTGGGTAACAAGAGCGAAACTCCGTCTCAAAAAAAAAAAAAAATACAAATATTAGTTACGTGTGGTGGCACGCACCTGTACTCCCAGCTACTCGGGAGGCTGAGGCTAGAGGATGCCTTAAGCCCAGTTCAAGGCTGCAGTGAGCTATGATTACCATTGCACTCCAGCCTGGGTGACAGAGTGAAATTCCGTCTCAAAATAAAACAAAAACAAAGCAATTAGCACACTGCTTGGCCCATAGAAGGTGCTCAGTAATCACGGCAATTATTTCTCAGCTCTGGGCTGAGACACTGTGGGAACATCACCATCATTTCAATAGGGAGAAGCTGAACTTCACTATCCATGGTTTGGCTCCTGTTCTTCAAAGGACTTCAAAGGGAATATAGTGTCCATCTCCTGAGAATTCAGGCCACTGCGGAACCTGGAGAGGCAGCACAGGAGGGTGTTATGTGAAAGACTGGGAGGAGAGTTCCCATGGACGCCGGGGACATGTGAAGGCCCTGGGGAGTTGCTGTGACCCTGGGTCTCTGCCTAGAGCAGTGAATGCTGGGGGGAGAAAAGGACATCAGCTGCTGAACAAATTTCCAGTGCTGCAAAGCCCCTTTAGGATAAACACACAGGGCTGAGTAATCTAGGGAAGGAACAAAGGCCTGGGATGGAGTGGGATCTCCCTAGCACGCCCTATCTTTTTCCATTTACTTAGCAAGTACTTTTTCTTCTCCTAAACAAGGATGCCAGGATTGACTAGCATTCCTAAGCTTCAGTATCCATCTGGAAAGAATTTCCATTTAACCAGCCCCCTGGAGGTTAGCATTGCAGTTAGGAGTGCAAACACTGGAGCCAACCTGACCTGGGTTCAGATGACAAAACTGCCATATACTAGCTCAGATAAGTCATTCAGCCTCTCTGAAGCTCCATTCCTTTGTGAACAAACTGCTACTTACCATATAGCATAGCTGAGAGTTTTGAAATATACTGAGTATAGGGCCGGGTGCAGTGGCTCACGGCTGTAATCCCAACACTTTGGGAGGCCAAGGCGGGCATTTTATCTGAGGTCAGGAGTTCAAGACCAGCCTGGCCAACAATGGCGAAACCCCATCTCTACTGAAAATATCAAAATTAGCTGGGCTTGGTGGCAGGTACCTGTAATCCCAGCTACTCAAAAGGCTGAGGCAGGAGAATCACTTGAACCTAGGAGGCAGAGGTTGCAGTGATCTGAGATCACGCCACTGCACTCCAGCCTGGGCAACAAGAGTGAAACTCCATCTCAAAAAAAGGGGAAAAAAAAAAAAAAAAAGAAATATACTAAGTACAGAAGAGCCCTAATCCCAGTTACTGTCATCCCTGTAACCTGAGTGAGCATCACCCCATAAGTAGTATAGAATTCTAGAAACTGGGCCCCGTGGCTCCCACCTGTAATCCCAGCACTTTGGGAGGCCAGTTCTGAGACCAGCCAGGGCAACATGATAAAACTGTCTCTACCAAAAACACAAAAATGAGTCAAGCGTGGTAGTGGTGTGCACCTGTGGTCCCAGCTACTTAGGAGGCTAGGATGGGAGGGTTGCTTGAGCCTCGAGTTTAGTTTGAGGCTGCAGTGAGCTAAGAACATATAGCCTGGGCAACAGAGGGAGATCCTGTCGAGAAAAAACAAAACACGGCCAGGTGCAGTGTCTCATGCCTCTAATCCTAGTACTTTGGGAGGCCGAGGCAGGTGGATCACGAGGTCAAGAGATAGAGACCATTCTGGCCAATATGGTGAAACCTCATCTCTACTTAAAATACAAAAATTAGCTGGGCGTGGTGGTACGTGCCTGTAGTCCCAGCTACTTGGGAGGCTGAGGCAGGAGAATTGCTTGAACCCAGGAGGTGGAGATTGCAGTGGGCCAAGATCACGTCACTGCACTCCAGCCTGGCGACAGAGCTTCCCTCTCAAAACAAAAAACAAACAACAAACAAAAAAACCCAAACCGGCAGGGCGTGGTGGCTCAGGCTTGTAATCCCAGCACTTTGCAAGGCCCAGGTGGGTGGATCATGAGGTCAGGATTTTGAGACCAGCCTGACCAACATGGAGAAACCCCGTCTCTACTAAAAATACAAAAAATTAGCCGGGCGTGTTGGCACGTGCCTGTAATCCCAGCTACTTGGGAGGCTGAGGCAGGAGAATCACCTGAACCTGGGAGGTGGAGGTTGCAGTGAGCCAAGGTTGTGCCACTGCACTCCAGCCTGGGCCACAGATCAAGACTCGGCCTCGGGGAAAAAACAAAACAAAACACAACTCAAAACCAAAAGGCAGTCCAGAGAGCGTGCCTCTCCCAGCTAGGGCTTTTTATTTATATTCCACATTGTTCTTAAGAGAATCCGAGGCAGTGTTGCTTGGAGGACCAGGCTTTCTGCTCATCCTTGTTCCTACATCTCCATCTCCGTTCTCCACATCAAGCCTGTCTGATCTAGCCACTTAATTCCATGGGAACTAGAAGACTGAATCTAGTTAGGGGCTCCTCTCCATCTGGTCTTTCCTTACTTTCCAGAGCCTGGAGCTCTGGCCTGGGACTCAGCGGATGGGGGGTTAAGACTGATGCCCTGTCCTTTCCCCTCCCCTCTCCATCCCTGACTTCAAAGTCTTCATAAAGCCCAAGTCATTGCTTCCCTGACCCCACAGTGGCAGCTCCATCAACCGCTTTTGGTGAGTTCAAAACAGCAGACGCAGAGCCCTGGACTGGCCGCTCGCTCTCCACATTCCAGCCATCTCCTAGGGTAAGCACCAGCATGCCAAGAACCTGGGGGGCCATGAGTCCTTGCTCCTCCAGGAGAGGAGTTATCTTCTAACTAGGATAGAAGCTGACTCAGGGCAGGCACAGTGGCTCATGCCTGTAATGCCAACACTTTGGGAGGCCGAGGTGGGCAAATCGCCTGAGCCCAGGAGTTTAAGATTGGCTGGGTGACATGGCAAAACTGTCTCTACAAAAAATATAAAAATTAGCTGGGTGTGGTGGCATGCACCTGTAGTCCCATCTACTTGAGGGGCTGAGGTGGAAGGATTTCTTGAGTCTGGAGGGCCAAGGTTGTAGTGATTGGCACTGCGCTCCAGCCTGAGTGACAAAGTGAGATGCTGCCTCAAAAAAAAAAAAAAAAGAAAAGAAAAATGCATCCTATTGGTAGAACCCCTGGTCTGAGGACCAGGACTCTGAGACTCTGATCACAGAAGACATTTACAGGGGTCGGCCAGAAGAGTGACAGGGTTTCCAGCCCAGAGATGAAGGTAGCCAGTTGGTAATTGTGAAGAACCTGCCTGGAGAGATGGACCTGGAAAAACAGGAGCAGCTCAGGAACCATGTCTTTCTTTAGTACTTATATGCAAAATATATGCTAAATTACATGCAAATCGATGTGTGACATTGCAATCTCTGGCAACTTGGTAACCAATGCTGTAACACTGCCTGGTCTAGCATGGTTTTGGCTCCCTGGGGCCACATCCTGCTCTGTAGGTCCCTCAGGACCAACTATCACAGACCTAAGGCCAGCGGGTCCCCAGTGCTCAAGGACTGTTTCTCCCTGATCCATGGATTTTTCCAGCTGTTTTTCTTGGCCCAAGGATCACACTCACAGGGATGCAGATGGGGGAAGGGGAAGCTGAGAAAACAGTGACGTTAGAATGAGCTGGGCAAGAGGCAGATGGTAGAAAACGGACATGGAGAAATGGCACTAGTGGCCCAGCCACCCGAGATGGGATACCTGGGAGGGACAGCTTTTCAAGGAGAGGCTGTGTTGGGCATGGTGAGATGGGTCTTAGTGGGTAACCCTCCTTTCCTCTCCAGACTGAGGAATCAGAGTTCTGATTGTGGAGTGCCTCTCTCTAGAACTGAGCTGCAGCCTAGGTGTCCCAGCTGCTTACATCCAGGTCCAGGATTATGTCTGCTAACAGACGCTGGTGGGTGTCACCCGAGGATGAAGACAGTGTGTGTAAGAAGCTCCTCAGGAAGACTCGGGAATCTCCCCTGGTGCCTGTAGGTAAGTGAAGAAAGGAATGGGGTACAAGTAGGGGGCCTTCTCTGAGCAATCATGTCTTCTGGTACCCTCCAAGAAGAATAAAGCAGAAGTCAGAGAACCCAAGTGGTCCTCCTCACAGAACAAGGGAACTAACAGCAAAGATGCCAAGGGGTAAACCCTTACAACGAAATGAGGACGTGTGGATGGGCGGAGGTGGCGGCTAACCGAGTACATGGGTTATGAGGAAGCTGAGCACCAACACCCAAATAGGGTCAGAGGAGCACTTTGGGGTCCCCCAGGGCTTCCTGCCTGATGGCCCTGGTAAAGTAGGAAAACAGCTGTACCAGGAGGTGGGAGCCAGCAGTGTGGCTGAAGAAGGCCCCAAAGCAGAGCAAATTGGTGGGGAGGGGCTGTGTCATGGTGATCAGCTATTTGTATATGGGCGAGGGGCATCACTAGAGGGAGGCAGCCACTTGGAAAATGCCATTGAAGGGCAAAACTCAATATTCTAATGATCCCCCTAGGCCCCCTGCATCCCCCCCTCCCCCATGAGATGCTGCATAAAAACAGCTGTTTATCCAGGTGTTCAGACTGCCTGGTGAGGTGTCTCTCATTAGGGGAGTGCTGTGCATTGTGGTCGTGGCCCAGGGGCTGTGTTCTCTCCCCACAGGCTTAGGAGGCTGCTTGGTGGTAGCAGCATACAGGATTTACCGGCTGAGGTCTCGTGGTTCCACCAAGATGTCCATACACCTGATTCACACCCGAGTGGCAGCACAGGCCTGTGTAGTGGGTGCAATCATGCTAGGTGAGTAGCTTCGTGGGGTCACAGGAGAATGAGATAAACCCTATTAGGCAGAGTCTGTATATCTGTAAGTCCCAACAGTTAAAAGGACCATGATTTGGCCAGGTATAGTGGCTCATGCCTGTGATCCCAGCACTTTGGGAGGCCGAGGTGGGTGGATCACAAGGTCAGGATATCAAGACCATCCTGGAGGACCTGGTGAAACCCCATCTCTACTATAAATACAAAAATTAGCCAGGCATGGTGGTGTGTGCCTGTAGTCCCAGCTACTCAGGAGGCTGAGGCAAGAACTGCTTGAACCTGGGAGGCAGAGGCTGCAGTGAGCCAAGTCTGCGCCACTGCACTCCAGCCTAGACAAGAGTGAGACTCCATCTCAAAAAAAGAAAAGAAAAAATGACCTAAGTCCCTGTTCCCTATTCTGGGCTCCACATCACGTCCTTGGTGAAACCCCTATTCTGAGCCATCTTCCCTGTTTAGGCTCCTGTCCAGATCGGTGGGGATGGTGCACAGTGTCTCATGACAGTTTGCCCTAGGGTGAGAAAAATCATGCAACAGAACACATGTTGAATTTCTCTTCCTCTTGAGATTAAAAAGCAGCCACTTGCTGTGACAGTGGACAAATCCTTCTCACTGAGCCTCAGTTTCCTGATGTATAACAATAACCACCCCTGGCCTGCCTACCTCACAGGCTGCTATAAGGTTTCTCAGATACACAATACACGTGAAATTGCTTTGTAAGCTGTCAGATGGGCGATTTCCCCAGGCTGTTTGGTCAGATGCTTGGAACAGGTGTTGGAACCTGGGGCTGAGCAGGAAGCTGGACTCTGAAGGGAGCAGCTAGAGGTGAACCCCTGGGACACCTGAGAGAGACAGAGGATGGGTGAAGGGTTCAATGCCAAGAGGCATGACTTCTTTTCCCTCACACAGGGACTGTGTACACAATGTGTAGCGATTATGTGAAAAGGATGGCACAGGACGCTGGAGAGAAGTAGGACTCCTATAGGAGCCGAGGCAGTCCGACTTCCCTAAATCAATCCCTGGTATGTTCCTAATAAAGCAGTTTTGAGAAAAATCAACAGACTCTTTTTCATTGGGGGAGAACAGAGTAAGGGACTGGTGGTGGCTGGGGAGAGGACTTGGAGCAAATGGCTGGAAATCAAAGTGCTCTGGCCCCATACCCCAGGGCAAGGGAGATTCTTGGGGGGCGGGGCAGCAATTTCCTGAGGTGGTGGGGTAGACCTCTGATCCCAGGAACCCAACAACTCCCAAGCCATCTTAGGTCCCACCCTGAAGCAGCACGGACTGAGAGCAAAGGGGCAATAACAGGGCCTTGATGCTCATGGGAACACTGAATTAAAAGGCAGGCTGCTTCCCTGGGGATTCAGGCAGGAAGGAGGCTGCAGCTGGAAGCAGAGGCAGTGAAGCCTCTTGGGAGATGACATATATTCAGAAATGTAAGCACCAGGACCAGAAGGGGCAGGGGAGACAGGGATGAAAGGAGCAGAGCAAGACAGAGGTCAAAATGTTCTGTTCACTTGCAAACCATGGCAAAGGTCAAACTTGTAGAAAATAAAATTCCATGTAAATACCAAAGATAGGGCCCCTTGGGGTTCCATCCCCCCTTCTCTTTCTGTGAGCCCAAGCAAGCTCCTCTCTTTCCTTGGAAATGGAGCCTGGCAGAGGGCACAGAAGGAAGCAGGAGGCCAAATGCTCCTCTCTCACTGGTGCTCTGGGTTAGAGGTTGGTGAGTTGTTCAAGATGCCAACAGCAGCTTCCAGACACTCTCTAACAACACGAAGGCCATGTCATACCAGGTCTCAGCTTCAAGTGCAGGAGTTGCAACCCACTGCAGGGAGCAGGAGCTGCCAGGAGTCCGTGCACTCACATGGGGTAATTGAGCACAACATCCTGTTTGGCGAGTTCCAGCAACATAGGATCATCGAAGAATTTGCTTATGCTCACATCTTCACTGAGGCCCTGCAGAACAAGGAAAAACACAAGAAAGACTGAGGTGGTGGCAGACTGAGTGGGGAGGCCACCCAAGACCTGCGTTCAGTGAGGCTAGTGGTAGCAGGAATGTAGGTGGTGGTGTTTCAGGACCCCTGCTTTCAGGGTACTATCATAAGGGAGGATAAGGCTCTTCTTTCACAGCAAGACTGGGGCCCAGGTCTAGGTGCCTCAAGAGTATAGAGATCATATGTCTACATTGGAAAAGGGTCCTTTAGGAAAAGGGACCAAAAGACAGAGATAGAGATCCTACTTCTGAGAGTCCTGGGGGGTTGAGGGCTGGGTACAGGCCCAAGGAAGACATACCTTCCTACGACGAGTTTTGATCATGAATTCCCGGGCCAGGTGAGGTGCCGGCTGTGGCTCCAAAGGACGAATGACAATGCTCTTGTCCAGAGGATCACCAGGGACAATCTAAAAGGCAAAGGAATTTCAGATGGCCCAGGCAGACTCCCCAGAAGATTTGGGCCCAGAAGCAGGATTCTTATTTTATTTAAAAAAAAAATTTTTTTTGAGACCGAGTTTCACTCTTGTTGCCCAGGCTGGAGTGCAATGGCATGATCTTGACTCACTGCAACCTCTGCCTCCCAGGTTCAAGCGATTCTCCTGCCTCAGCCTCCTGTGTAGCTGGGATTACAGGCATGCACCATCACGCCCGGCTAATTTTGTATTTTTAGTAGAGACAGGGTTTCTCCGTGTTAGTCTGGTCTCAAACTCCCGACCTCTGGTGATCCACTCTCCTCAGCCTCCCAAAGTGCTGGGATTACAGGTGCCAACCACTCTGTCCAGCTAATTTTTTTTTTTTTTTGGTATTTTTAGTAGAGACAGGGTTTTACCATAGTGGCCAGGCTAGTCTCCCAATACCTGACGTCGTGATCTGCCCGCCTTGGCCTCCCAAAGTGCTGGGATTACAGGTATGAGCCACCATGCTGGTCCTGCATTTTTTTTTTTTTTTTAAACTGAGAGACACAGATTCAAGTTGCCCTGAATATATGCTCCCCAGAAGAAGAGTCTTCTCTAGGATGCTGTACATCTCACTTAGGGCTTGGAGGGGGATCAGGACAGAAGGGGATGAGGCTTGCAGAGGTGCGAGGCCAAGCTAGCCAGCCTGCATTGTTTTCTCACCTGCCAATGGTGGAAGACAGACAGAGAAAAGGCTTGTCCCTGGGTGTGAGTCCGGAGATCAGTCTCAAAGCCAAAAGAGTCGATGGCTGGGATAAAAGCTTTGATGGTGTACAGAGGGGAGCCTGGGATGGGTGCATCCTGAGTCACGTGCCCCCTGAAACAAAAAAATAAAGGCTGAGTCTCTAGTTAAACAAAGGCCGAAAGACAAGAAGCAATCTGCCATTGGCTGTTACCAAACGCATCCCAGCCCAGAGTTACCATCAAAGAAAGAGTAACCAAGAATGTTCTACAGAGCAGAAAAGGCTCGGGGGCTCTCAGTTTAAATTCCCTGTGGTCTTGAGTTTTTTTTTTTTTTTTTTTTTTTTTTTTTTGGAGAAGGAGTTTTGCTCTTGTTGCCCAGGCTGGAGTGCAATGTCATGATCTTGGTTCACCACAACCTCTACCTCCCAGGTTCAAGTAATTCTCCTGCCTCAGCCTCCCAAGTAGCTGGGATTACATGCATGTGCCACCACACCCGGCTAATTTTGTATTTTTAGTAGAGTTGGGGTTTCTCCATGTTGGTCAGGCTGGTCTTGAACTCCTGACTTCAGGTGATCCACCCGCCTCAGGTTCCCAAAGTGCTGGAATTACAGGCGTGAGCAACTGCGCCCAGACTAATTCCCTGTGGAAGTCAAAGTGGCAGCAACCTCTGGAGAGGACAGGAGTGGGACAGTGATGGGACACGGGCCCAAAGACATTCCCATCACTGACTTGCCTCAGCACTTTCTCCAAGACCTCTCTGAGGAGGGGACCCCAAAAGAAACATCAAATTTTAATCTGAAGAAAAGCTGGGGCTTGCCTCACTCTTTTCCTACTTCCTTCTGGGAAATCAGCTCTCAGGGTTTCCAGAGTGAAGAGGGAAGGGGAGGCCAACCCTCCTCCCTGCAGGAGCCAAGGTGCCTCTTGGTCTGCTCTTGCTCTCAGCACTCTCCCTAATATACCTGGGGTTGCTCACCTGCGCCTGGCCAGGACAGTATAAACCGCAGAGACGCAGTCTGCAGGTGCCTGGACCTCTACAAAGTAGTAAGGCTCCATCAGACGAGGAGTGGCCTGCAGCAGAGTGAGAAGAAAGGGCCCTCAGCTTGGGGAAGGCTGGGGGCCTGCAGTCCCAATTGCTGCTCCTCTTAGTGCCCTGTCCAGTGAAGCAGATGGTCCCCTATAGCCTCATTCTCTTACCATGAGGAAGGCAGAGTAGACAACTCTCCTGGCTGTGGGGATGATCTGGCCCCCGCCACGGTGCAGGGGCTCCTGGGCAACCACTGCATCCAGAATCTTAAACTTGACGTTCCGAATCACTGTAAAAGAGGTGGGGGCAGCTGACTAGAGAGAGGTTCTGGGCCTGCCACGGGACCATGGCGGAGTAGCAGTCTCCTGTAACACTGCAGTTGTCTTGCAGTCATGAAAGACATGGTACAGAAACCACACGGGAGGTAGGAGTTCTAACTGAATAAGCAAGGCCCATGGCAAAGAGGTCAGAAGTTACGTAAATGCTTAGGGTTTGCTTCAGGCCATGCTCAAACATAGAACTTTCCTAGAAGTTTATTTCCTTCTTCTGTAGATATTTACATTTTTGTGGATGTAGAATAAATCCCGGTACATTTGGTCCCATAAAGCCCAATCAGGGTCTATAAACCACTCTGATCTCATCATCCCCTTGATATTTCTCCTCAAATATGTCCAGGGCCAAACGCTTCTTAGAAATGAGGAGCAAGTAACAGTTTGGAAATGACTTAAATTCCCAGGCTATACCACATGGATGTACCAGGATAAGGAGGGAGAAGGAAGGACGTTGGTCCAGGACATGGGACAGTCCTGTGTACCCCAAGCTGCTTCTCCTGCCCAGTCCTAAAGATGGTGAGCCCATCCTACTCATAAGACTGGCTCTAAGGACCCTTGTGGACTGGGGTAGGGGAGTGCTGGTGGACTTACACTCATCACAGAGGGGGCCCTCCCTGGTTCCCCATTGGAAACCTTGAACGATGCTGTCCTTCACTGAACCAAGAAGAGCCTTGTCAACCTACAGAGAAACATGAGGCCTCCTTAGCAGTCATCCTGACAACAGCTGAAGCGTTTAGAGGAAGGAGAAGATAAATACGCCTGTAAGAGGATATTGTCCTTTACAAGAGAACACAAAATACTTTTTGGAAATAAACACTTTGTAGTTTCTTCCACTCCAGAGGTAAGAGACTGCCACCCAGTTCCCATCAGTTCTGCTGTACCTCGGAGGGCAGAGTATCATCCACCAGAATGTTGGGGCCAGTGGCATCAGGGCCAAAAGCCCAGATGGAACGGGCAGCCAGCAGATCCCAATCATACTTGGTCTGGAAGAACTCTCCTAGCTTCTTCCTGGGGAAAGGAGGAGACAATGGAGCTGTCGGCCAGCTCTGTGATTGCTGGTCCTGGAGCCACAAACCCTCCCTTCCTAGGAGACAGTCACCTCATTCTACCTACTGTGCCCAGGACAAGAGCAAAGGCAAAGATATAAATGCTTCCTAGAAAGATGTGTGCTCTTAGAGACCCAGCAGGTAAGCCGTGGCATCCCTGCTTCCTTTTGACCCTGTCAGAGCCCCATTCTTACCTGTTCCATGTAATCTGGACCACCTCATTCTCTATGTCCTCTGCCAGGCCCTTCTCAAGAGGCTCAGCAATCATGGTGATCTTGTTCCTGGTCAGAATGGAAATGGGTGGTGAGGAGGGCTAACAGAACAGCAGAAGAGGCATTCCTAAAAAAAAGGTTACAAGATGGACTGCTGAGGAAGTGACATCACTGAAAGACATGGGTTTCAAGTGTGGTGGCTCAGATCTGTAATCCCAGCACTTTGAGAGGCCAAGGTGGGAGAATCACTTAAACCCAGAAATTTGAGGCTGCAGTGAGCCATGGCTCTCACCACTGCAT